ACATTGCTCTCGCGAGGGGCGAAAATGGGCGAGAATGGAGCAGTGTTTTGATAATAGGTGGGCGAGAAAAGAAAGAGGAGAAGGAAAAGGTGGGGGCAGGGAGTTCTTCCCACATGCCTTTTACAACCCGGATGTTTTTCTTTATCCGGACTCCATTTCACCTTTTTATGACTGCTGACAGACGTCAGATGCCGGCCTTGGTCCCCAACAGACGTGAGTATGATAGGTCAGAGAGAAAGCAAGTTTAAAATTTAAAGGGCACTTTCCAAATTGTGTTTTGATATTATGTAATCAGTGGCTATAAATCATTTATGAGGACGAGCCCTATTTCTCAACATTTTTCTCACTACCGGATAGCATCAATATTTTGCATTCTTGCTATTTTTGTTTGAACATTCTGTTTTATTTTCATTTGCTTTTCTTTAATGATTAGACAAGATTTAACATCTTTTCACATACTTATATGCCACTTTGTGTTTCTCTATAAATCCCCCTTCTTTGCCTTTTGTTTATTGCTTTCTAGGAGCTTCTTGCATATTAGTAATATACATTTTAAGTATTTGTGGCTAGGTGGTGATTTCTCTTTCAACCTCGTCTGTCTTCTCTTACTAGGATATAAAATCCTTGAGGGGAGGTACTTTTGTGTGGTTTCTTTCCTGCTATAGGATATAACCCCAGTTTCTAGAACAGTGCCTGGCATTCAGCAGGTGTCTAATAACCGCTTGCTGAATGGATGAATGCCCTCTTCACTGAACAGTATGTCATATCTTATAACCGTATGTTTTATATCAATGCTTGTAGATTCCTCTTGTTGCCTTTTATGGTTGCTGTGATATTCCTTTATAGGGAATTCATTTACTCCCTCATGAGGATGCTTTATTATTTTGCTGTTATAAACAGTATGGTAGTGCGTATATTAATACGTGCTGTTTTGCTTACATGTGTATTTATGTAGAATAAATTCTAGAAGTAGACTTGTTCATTAGAGGATATGTGCATTTAATATTTTGAAGGATACTGCCAAATTAATTGCCCTCAAAGTATTGTATCCACAGTATACCCACAACTTAAGCATTCTCATTCCTGACATCTTCACTGATGCAGTCATTTATTGAAGTCTAATCTTTGATAATATGTAAGGGAAACTGGGTATCTTACTGTAACTGGCATTTCCTTTTCTGTGCATGAAGTTGAGCATTGCTTTACATTTTTACATTTCCTTTTCTGTGAATTGATGGTCATGTTTTCTGATTTTTTTTTTCAAAGCCAAGTTGCCTTTTCTTCTTGTTCTGTAGGGGTTGGTTTTATATTGAGGAAGTATAAAACTGCACATTCTATGCGTTGTGCACATATGTTTTATCCAGTTAGCTGCTTGTCCTTTGAGTTTATTTATGATTTATTTATGCTCAATGTACAAAGTAGAAAAATGTATCCGTGTTTCCCCTGTGACAGTTGGTTTTTGTAGCATGTTTAATTAGCAGAAACTTCTCCATTCAAAAATTGTTTAAAAAAGAAAACAAGAAAGCCTCTCCATCTTTGTTTTACTGCTTCTCTTTTGTTTAAATTTTTGTTATATTTCAAATTAATTTTTGTGGATAATGTGAGATAGGGAGTCCAATCTTACATTGTTTTCTTGGTTTGAATAACCAACTTTTGAGCACTTAGCACAATGTTATCTTCACAACAGACAAAACTAAACTGAAGAAAAAAAAAACCTGGAAATGTGATGACAGAATTTAGGTTACTAGAGGTGGAAGAGGAAGGTGGGAATAATTGTGGTAGGGGACCCAGTGGATGATGGTAGAAGATTATGGGTATTTTGGTGGTGGGTATGGTGTGGTAACATGCATCTGAAGAGGTGTGAACCTTTACCTCTGAATCACATACAGGTTATAAATCACATACAGGTTATTACCTCAATAAAAAAGTGTTTAAAAAGACACTAAATAAAATTATCTAATAAAATAAATGGGAAAATTAAAATGCTTCTTTTATTATGTATTAAATTTTCCACTTTTATTTACATCGATTTTTAGACTTTCTAGTTTGTTCCATTAACTATTCTTTTTAAAAAAGATTTATTTATTTGTGCACACAAGAACTGGGGTATAGGCCAGAGGTGTGGAGGGTGAGAGACAGAGTGGGTAGCAGAACAGGCAGATGCACTGAAATACACTGCTGAGGGGAGCAGCTGGAGAGACAGGAGAGGCATGCTGTGCCATGTGGGTCACCTTCCTGGCCAGGGATTGAACTCATGCTGTAGTGGCTGCGGAGAGCTTCATAGTGCTGCGTTTTAACCCATTTAGCCACCAGGGAGGGCCCCCAGTAACTATTCTTGCTAATGACAGGGTGTTACATTGTTTTGCCCAGTAAGTGTTGCACTAAGTGCATAGTAGGCATCTACAGGTATTGTTGTGGTAAAAACGATCAGAATGAGTAGATTGTAGAGGAATGTACTGTTACAGGAAGCAGTGACATTTGCGGATGTGGCTGTGAACTTCACCCAGGAAGAGTGGCAGCAGCTGGACCCGGTTCAGAAGACTCTACACCAGGATGTGATGCTGGAGATCTGTAGCCACCTGGTTTCTGTAGGTGAGGGCAAAGCCTTGGTATGATAATGAAGCAAACCCTCCTCATCCTCTATAGCTGTCAAGACAATGAACCTCATAATTTTCCATTATCAGGTTGTTTTCTTTTATATTTCTTGGTTTTTATGTTTATATTTTTGTTTTATTTGGAATTACTTTTTGTGGGTAAAGGATCCATCTTTACCGGGAGGCCCCTGAAATTACATCTTCTCCTTGTGAATTTCTGAACTGCCAAAACCAAAGCCATTATAATTTTCCTGTAACAGGATGTTCAGATATAAAACCAGATGTAATCTTCAAACTGGAACGTGGAGAGGCCCCATGGATCATCGAGAGTGAGTTGTCAAGATGGATCTACTCAAGTAAGTGAGAGCTGGGTGTTTTCTTCTTTCCTGATATTGATGGCCTCCTTTCTTCCCTAAAATTTATCAGGTCTCTTTTATAACATATACTCGACATCAGATATCTCCCTAACCCTTTTATCTTTTGCCAGCTGTTTTCTTTTTAGTGTCTATTTGATGTTACCTTTTTCTTCTTTCAGGCAGGAAGAAACGCCTTGAACTTACTCAGCAGATTATTTCTGGGGAATACTCATTTCAAAGAGAAATATTGGAAAGAGCCCCAAAGGATAATTTATTGTATTCTCTTTTAAAAGTCAGGCATGTTGATGGTCAGAAAGATGAATATCAAGGAAACCAAGACCATGTTTTGAGGCAGTTCATAGTTAACAGCCATGAAACATTGACTGAGAAGAGAGAAGCCAAGCATAATGAAGTTGGAAAAATATTTAATGGGTGCAAAGACCTTGATCCCTCAAGTGAAAAACACTCATGTGGAAGGAGATTGACATCTGATTTAGACTCAATAACTTGTAGTAAGAGCTATGCAAGAAAGAACCCCATCGAAAAATTTGGGTGTGGGGGAGCACCTAGCTATAGTGTTTCCTGTTCAGTGCCTGAGAAAATACATGGAGTAAAATCCTATGGACATAGAGAGTGTGAAACAGTTCTCAGTCATAAGCAAACCCATATACACCATAAGAGAGTTCAAACTGGGGGGAAGCTCAACAATTGTAGTGTGTGTGGAAAGGGCTTTATTAAGAAGTCACAACTCATTATACATGAAAGAATTCATACTGGAGAGAAACCGTATGTATGTGGAGATTGTGGGAAAGCCTTTAATGAGAAATCACATCTCATCGTACATCAGAGAATCCATACTGGGGAGAAACCCTATCAATGTACTAAGTGTGGGAGGGCCTTCTCCCAGAAGTCACCATTCATCGTTCATCAGAGGGTCCACACTGGAGAGAAACCCTATGAATGTTCTGAGTGTCACAAAACATTCTCCCAGAAGTCACATCTTGTTATACATCAGCGAGTTCATACCAGAGAGAAGCCTTTTGAATGCAGTGAATGTGGAAAAGGCTTCTGTAAGATGTCTCACCTTTTTCTACACCAAATCACTCATACTGGGGAGAAACCCTTTGAATGTGCTGAATGTGGGAAGACTTTCCCTCGGAAAACACAACTCATCATTCATCAGCGAACGCATACTGGAGAGAAACCATACAAGTGTGGTGAATGTGGCAAAACCTTTTGCCAGCAGTCTCATCTCATAGGACATAAAAGAATTCACACAGGAGAGAAACCTTATGTATGTTCTGACTGTGGGAAGGCCTTTTCCCAGAAGTCACATCTCACTGGACATCAAAGACTTCATACTGGAGAGAAACCTTATATATGTACAGATTGTGGAAAAGCTTTCTCTCAAAAATCACCACTTATTATACACCAGAGAATTCATACAGGGGAGAAACCCTATGAGTGTAGTGAATGTGGCAAAACCTTTTCCCAGAAGTCACCCCTCATTATTCATCAAAGAATTCATACTGGGGAAAAACCCTATGAGTGCACCGAGTGTGGGAGGGCCTTTTCTCTGAAGGCACATCTCCTTGTTCATCAGAGAGCTCACCCTGGAGAGCAACTGTATGAATGCAGTGACTGCGGAAAGGTCTTTTGTGAGAAGTCTCCAATGATTGTCCATCAGAGAACCCATAGCAAAGAGAAATCCTCTGAATGTGCTGAGTATGAGATGAGTTTTTCTCAAAAATCACAGATGATCACATATCAGAGAACACATACAGGGGAGAAATGCTCCAAGTGCAGTGACTGTGGGAAGGTCTCCTGCCAGCATGTACACCTCCGTGATCAGCAGACTCCATATAGGAGAGGAACATTATACACATACTGATCGAGCAACAGTCTCTTCCTAGAAGTCAACCCTCATCGTGCACAGGGAAACTCACATCAAACAGAGATTCTATAGATAGGTTGGACATGAAAAATGTGCTACTTCCTCAACTGTAGAATAGACTCACATATGCCTCTATATCTGATTACTCCTATATGGAATGATCTGGCCTTTATAGTGTTTTCATTGCTGTAAATAAGTAATGGGTTTGCTTACCCCCAAAGTATCTCAGCCTCCTTCCCAGAATAAAACATGTCTGCAGCAACGAGCACTGTTTTGGTGTTATTTGGGTCTTCAAGCTTTAGCAGAATTTGGGGAATTTATTTGGGCATGTTTCATTATTGGAAGGGCATATCTTTGTCATCTTTCCTGTTTCTTCCATCTTTTTTTTTCTGTTTATATATGTTTATATGAATATACCTATCAATATGTACATACTTACATATAGTTAGATATATTCATATAATTTTCTTCAAAATCATTTCTCCTGAAATGAGAAAAAGAATCTTATTGTTCATTTCATTTTATCTCTATATTTGGTTGTTTCCAGTATCATCTCAGAGTGTATTTGTGATTTCCCCACCCTCAATTGGAAACACAATTGTATTATTTATTTTATGCCCCTTTCCACCCATCTGAAGATCAATTCTTGCAATTATTGCATTTAACCATTTTCCTTTTTTTCTGATTCATTCATTTTTTTTAAGATTTATTTATTTGTGCATACAGAACTGGGGTACAGTCCAGAGGTGCAGGGGTGGTGAGAGGATCCCCCAGAGACAGAGTGGGGAGCAGAACAGGCAGATTCACTAGGTAAACTGCTGAGGGGAGCTGCGGTGGGGGGGGGTCAGGAGAGGTCTGCCATGCCTTGTGGTCACCTCTGGGGCAGGAGGGGATCGAACTCATGCTGAAGTGGCTTTAGCTTCTTAGTGCTGTGCTTTAACCTGCTGTGCCACCGGGGAGGGCCCTCATTCATGTTTTAACTAAAGTCCTTTCATTTGCATTTCTATTTTTATCTCTCTAAATTCTTTAGTTGAATGTGTAAGTTAATTAATCTCATCTTTTTCGATTTATTTATAGGTGTATTTTCACTTATGTGTTAATCTGAGGACAATTTTAGCCTTTTGTGGTCCAATCTGAGACTATTGTTTTTATTTTTTATTAATTTGTATATCTGCTTACATTGTTGCATATTAAGTGTTTACTTCCACCTCCCCATTTGCCCGCCCATCATCACCACAGCCTCCCACATTCCTCCCTCCCTCCTTCTGACCACCTCTGTCCCCCTCCCCTGTAGGATCTCTCTGGTTTATGATTGTCTGTTGTTGTTTTGTTTTGTATTGTAAAATCAATACACTTCCCCCACCTCATGTCTTACTTAGTTCTCTTATATTCCTCCTACAAGTGAAACCATCTGATATTTTTCTTCTTCTTTCTGACTTATTTCACTGAGAATGATCCCTTCTTGCTCCATCCATGTTGCTGCCAATGGCATGACTCTATTTTTGATTGCTGAGTAGTATTCCATTGTGGATATACACCATGTCCTCTTGATCCAGTCATCTGGTTTAGGGCATTTGGATTGTTTCCAGGTTTTCCCTATTGTAGATAGTGCTGCAGTATACATAGGGTACATGTATCCTTTTGAATTAATGTTTTTGTGTCCCTTAGGTAGATCCCTAGGAGTGGAATTGCTGGATCGTATGGAAGCTCCATTTTTAGTAGTCTGAGGAACCTCCACACAGCTTTCCATAGTGGTTGTACCAGTTTGCACTCTCACCAGCAGTGTAGGAGAGTTCCTTTTTCACCTCATCTCAGCAACATTTGTTGTTAGTTTTTTTTATATGTGCCATCTCACTGATGTGAGGTGGTATGATACTATTGTTTTTTAATAGGCAAAAATTGTTGTTTAACCCATTTTTTTGTAGTTATGACAGATTTTAGTTTCAGGACTCTGCATATTTCTTTCTTTTAAAAATATTATTTTATTTTTGCATAGAAGAACTAGGGTGTAGGCAAGAGGTGGGGGAGTTGAGAGGACTCACCAGAGACAGAGTGGGGAGCAGAACAGGCAGATCCACTGAAATACACTGCTCAGGACAGCAGCGGGCGAGACAGAAGAGGTCTGCCATACCATCTGTGGGTCAGCTCTGGGCCGGATAAACTCAGGCCCTAGTGGTGACAGTGCTGAGAATTAACCCCTAGGCCTAGGGTGGGTCCTCTCAGCATATTTCTTTTGTGCATTTGTTTTAGTTGCTTTTATATCTCATCATGTGGTCCTGATCTGATTCCCTTGTACATTTTGAGTGTTATTTGTGCTCCAGGGTATAGCAAAAGGTGCGGATGCTCATGAATTTCGATAATCCATCATACCTGGGAAATGGGATTTAAGGTTGCAAAGAAGCATGATGGCAGGTCTGTGGCTATAAAGGAAGATTTTTTGTTCCTAGACTGATGTTGGCAGTCTTTGCATGTGCGTTTTTCAAAACATCAGTGTTGAGCGACCTTGGTTCAGCAGGTCCAAGGAAGTGAAGTGAAGAGGAGACCTGAGTGGAGTGTGTGTATTTGTTGAGGTTGCTGTGGCTACGTTTTTCAGTCAGGTCTCCACTGAAAGTCAGTGACGTGCAGAAAGCCACAGCAACAGGAATTTCCTAACAGTTTCCCAGAATGGACATGAACATTGTTTCTTCACAATAAATAAATACTTATTGAACATATGCTGCATGGCAGGCACTTCTTTGAGAATTTTGCAGTGAACAAGCAGATTTTATGTAAACATGTATATATTTTTAGTCTACTTCATTTGTTGTTTTACTTTCACTCACAATGTGTGTGTGTATACATAGAAGATCTAAAATATATACTAAAGTATTACATGTGTATGATAATACATGATATTATATATATGCACAGCCCCTCTGTGGACAAGTGTTTAAGGGCTGTGGTTGAAAATATATAAAGATAGGGAAACCAGGAGTGCTCTGTGGGATAGGGGGTGGACAAGAAAGTTCTCAATGATAAGGTGCCACTGTGCAGAGAGTTTTTGAAGGAGAGCATGCCAGGCAGAGGGAACAGAAAGTAGAACAGACTTGGGACCAAGCTCACCTGCCACCATGGCTCTTTGTTATCGGAATTCACATCCCCACTGTACTCCAAAAGTAGCTCAAAGATTTACCTTTAACGGTCCTAGATTGTAATGACCCCAACTGTTTGTAAGAAGTGATTATAAATCCACTCTGGTTTGAGCCACCTTTCAACCTACACATAGAAAATTTCATGATGTCAGATCCAACAGTGAAGAAAAGTCACAAAACATACAAACAACAAGACATTATTAACAAGATTCAGAAGAAACAACAGAAAAAAATTTCAGTTATTAAAATGATCAAACAGACAATAAAGTAAGTACTTATTGAAAGTAACAAAACTAGGTATATTACCTTGCTAGGGCTATCATAAAACTGTCCTTAAACAAAGGAACTTTATTGTTTCACATCTCTGGAGACTAGAAGTTCAAAGTGAAGGTGTTGGTTCCATCTGTAAGTCATTATGGAAAGATCAATTCCAGGCCTCTCTACATCCTTGGAGTTGGACATCTTCTCCCTATGTCTTTCACATTGCCTATTCTTTCTGCTTTTTTCTGTGTCCAAATCTCTTCTTTTCATAAGGACACTTGTTATATTGGAATAAGGTCCAATTTAGTGAACTTATTTTAACTTAATTACCTCTGTAAAGTTCCTATCACCAAATAATGTCACATTCTGATATACTGGGAGTTTTGTTTCAACTCATGAATTTTGAGGGGAACACTTTAAATACTGACAGAAATGGAACATATAATAAAGAAAAGTGGCCATGTAGCTTTTTAAAAATTTAATTATATATATATATATATATTTTAAAGATTGATTTATTTATGCACACAAGAACCAGAGTACAGACCAAATGTGTGTGTGTGTGTGTGTGTGTGTGTGTGTGTGTGTGTGTGTAGGGTGGTAAGAAGATTCACCAGAGACATAATGGGGAGCAGAAAAGGCAGATCTACTGAAATACACTGCTGAGGGAGCAGCAGGTGGGGCAGGAGAGGACTGCAGTGCCATGTGGGTCTTCTCCAAGGCCAGGGATCGAACTCTTGGTGCTTCACAGTGCTGTGCTTTATTTAACCCCTTGAGCCACCAGGGAGGGCCACCATGTAGATTTTAAAAAGACTCTAAGGGAACTTTTAAAAAATGCAAATTATAATAATAAGAAATAAATACTTAATAGATGAGTTTAATGATGCATGAAACATGGTTGAAGAGAGAAGTAAAGAACTAGAACAATGGTCTGGAAAGATAACTGAGAATGTAGGATCAAAAACCAAGTCCATGAAAATTTAAAAGCACTTGACGAGTAGGGTAACAAAACAGGTAGATTTAACATATGCCTAAATTAGAACCATAGTAGAAGATGAGAAAACTGGGCAGTGGCAATATTAAAAAAGATAAAACAGTGTTTCAAAGACATCAACCCACAGTGACAATTAGATTTTGAAGTGACTTTCCAGTAGCAGCAAGGGAATTGAACACACTGTATTTACGTCTTCAAGATGCTCAGAGAGAATAACTCAATCTGGAATTACATACCCACTAAAAATATCTTTTAAGAACTAGGTGAAAATAAAGATATTTTCAGGCATATCAACCTTTAAGTTTCTAGGGAGATTGCCACCGACGTACTCTCACTATGGACAGCTCTAAAAGGCATATATCAAACAGAAGGAAATTTTCTGGGGGAAGTACACAGTAAAATCTTGAATGTCTCTAATCCCTGCATAGCACATACATATTCAATCTGAAATGGACATTCTCATCATTTTACCACATTAACATGTGTAAATATTATATACCTAGATTTGCTTTGTATTTTATAAAAGAACCAATGTAAAATTTTACCATCAACAGAACAGTAATTGAAACAGAATGGAGTACAGAAAGAGACTCAAATACAATAGGAATTTTTTTTTAAAGATTTATTTATTTGTGCATACAGAACTGGGGTACAGGCCAGAGGCTCAGGGGCGGTGAGAGGCTTCACCAAAGACAGAGTGGGGAACAGAACAAGCAGATCGACGAAGTACACTGCTGAGGGGAGCAGTGGGTGGGTCAGGAGAGGTCTGCCACACCATGTGGTCACCTCCGGGGCTGGCGGGAATCGAACTCATGCGGAAGTGGCTTTAGATTCTCAGTGCTGTGCTTTAACCCGCTGCGCCACC